TGGAAAGAGATGGGATAATTGAGAAGTCATCAAGTGAATGGGCCTCACCTTTGGTGATAGTTAAGAAGAAGGATGGGGGTATTCGGCTTTGTGTCGATTACAGGCAACTGAACCAGGTTACAAAGTTCGATGCGTACCCTATGCCTAGAGTTGAGGAGTTACTAGATACAATAGGGGATGCAGAATTGATAACGACGTTGGACCTTGCAAAGGGATACTGGCAGGTACCCGTGAACGAGAAGGACAGGGAGAAAACAGCATTTACTAGTCCTCGAGGACTTTATCAATTCAAGACTATGCCATTTGGTCTTAGTGGTGCACCTGCAACCTTTCAACGCATGATGGATGAAATCTTGAGAGGGACGGATACCAGTGTACAAAAGTGGCCAAACTGCATTTTTCCAGGATGCTATTTGAAAAGGAGCATTTTATACGGTTTTTAGAAATTGAATCAAGGTTTTGGTATAAATTATACAAAATTTTGGAAAAAGCTGCTACCTGCAATCTAATATCTGCTAGCTGGTAGTTGCAATCTGCTCTATCTAACCTGCAATCTACTATCTGCTAGCTGCAGAGCTGCTAGCTGCAATCTGCTAGCTGCAATCTGCTGGCTGCAATCTGCTTGCTGCAATCTGTTAGCTGCAATCTGCTAGCTGCAGAACTGCTAGCTGCTACCTGCAATTTGTCAGCTGCAATCTGCTAACTGTTGAGACTGCCAGCCAATGCTAAGTGCTATTTCTATTATTTTTATTAACTATTATTAAACTAATTATCATAATAATCATGGAAGAAGTTGATTGTTCTTTGGTTGAAAGTTGGATTAAAGATGGAAAAACATATGCTTGGATTAGTGAGCAATTGCAGCAATTGTATCCTAACATATCAAGAGGTCTTTCTGTTCGGAGTGTTAGAAGGTTTTGCAATAACCATAATATTAGTAAAATGACTGATGATGAACTTGATGATGTTGTTACTGATGCAGTGAAAGATGTAAGGCATATATCTACTCAGTAGCATAAATTAGTTTTGTACATGTATATGCTTTTAAAATAGGTGGGGGAGGTTTACGGAAGAAAAATGATGAAAGGGTATTTAGCTTCATCACTGGATATTGATGTTGGAGAACATCGAATAGCATCATCTTTGCAACGAGTGGATCCAGAGGGTTATGAGAGACGAAGGAGTGATACAGTAGACAGAGCCAATCCTATCCCATATTCAGCTCGTTACTTTGGCCATAAATTACATATGGACCAAAATGAGAAATTAATTAGGTATGGTGTTACTCACGTTATTGCAGTTGATGGGTTCTCAGGAAAAATTGTTGCTCACACATCCATGCCAATTAAAAACAATTTAACTATTTATCAAAAAGTTTACAGGTGGGAATAACAATTATTAATATTTGCAATTATTTGTTACTGTTTTTCAGAGAGGCAGTTTTGCAGTATGGACTGTGGCATCAGCTAAGAGTTGATCATGGGAGAGAATTTTATCTGTCACTATATGTTCAAAACCGTGCTAGAGAACTGCATGGACCACAGGACATAACTTCTTTTTGTCAAACTCCTTCTACTCAGGTATGTACATATTAATGTCACTTTGTAAATCTAAACTTATATTTTACAGAATTTAGCTGTTGAGAGATTATGGGTTCAAGTTAACAGCAGAGTAAACTACCCAGTGAAACGTGTATTAGTCAAAATGGAAGAAAACCAACTACTGGACTTGTCTAACACAACAACGCAATACTGTGTATCTTATGTGCTGATTAACACATGTAATGTAGGCATGGAGAGATTTGTTGGATCATGGAATGCACATTCTATTGCAGGTTATATCTATCGATCATGCTTCTTATCATTATATAAAATAGGGAAAGGAATACCCAACAATTTGGCATTAAACTGTAATACTTCCCCTGTGCCAGTGTCAGCTGTTCCAGTTGTAGATACAGCTGCTAGAGAGTATCAAAGAGACCAGGGACAGTTGACACTCTTTTCTAACTTTGGTACTGATCCAATTGGAAACAGACAAGATTTAATCAGAAGAAGAGAGCATCTGTTTCATTCAAAGGGATTCACATATGAAAACATGTTTACTAATACAGTTTCTGATGATGGACAAAAACTAGTCAATGGAATCCTGATGCACATTGAATTAACAAATAGATTAAGTTTATTATTGTGATTGATTTAGCAAAATACCTGATAAATGTGAACCAGACAATAATTGAATACAGTGTCATGATTGAATAACATTTTAGCAAATTTACACAAAGGAGTCATTAGGAAGTTAGTCCATAGTAGTTAATCAATTAAGTTCGATGACTTCATTGCTAGAGCTTGAATTGATATTTCCCATTGCTTCAATGATCAGTTTAAACTGGTTAGAATAAGGCAGCTTCTTATGTGTTTCGTCCGTTACTGGCAAGCGGCAATGTGGACACGTTTCACTCTCTCTTATCCAATTGTCAAAACATGTTTGACAGCAACCAAGAGTCTTGCAACAGGTCATGATCACACAATCTATTGATATCCTCTCCTTACATATGAGGCAAAGGAGATTAGCACAAACAACGTCCACAATCTTCTTATATTCTTGTCCTCCTTCTTTCTTCACTTTTATCAGGCTCTCCAGACTTGAGATTCTTTTCTCTAAATCACTTGGTATCCCAGGCGGTAATACGATCGGACATGATGAACTAGATGGTCCGGGAGATAGATCAGATTTTGATTTTTTAGATGGTTTATAGAAGCTAGTTTCCACAAAATCATCGTCATCATCACTAATGGTTTGGTCATTTGCAGAAAGAAAACGGTAATCTTTTCGTGACACTGCCTTCACTAATAGTGCTGCTCTCCAATACTCACTGCCTATTACAGTAGATATGCATAATTTTATTAAAGTGAATTGTGTGTACTTACTTCGTGTCGTCTTGTTATCAGGAATCCTCAGGTTATCTTTGTCTAAGAGAACTACGTCATTACCCTCAAAAGCCTCTACAGAGACAATGTTGCTCACTGCTTCTATGCAAGCCGTAGCAGGTGTCAAAGTTACTGGGTGGTTGCAGGTTTTCTTTGCTTTCCCTTCTGATACAGAGCATATCTCCACGTTTTTTCTCCACGACTCATTCTTTAATGTACCAGGAGGAGCTCTAGAACCTTTAAGAGACAGTTTAGGCTTGAATGAATTCGTCCCGAACTTTCTTTTACCACCATGATTGCTTGAACTGCTGCTACTCGACTGGTGAGTCAGCGGGGTAGACGCAATTGGTGGAGGTAAAGGAGGTACATCACAGGATTGTCCTTGGACAACAAAAGTAGTGCAGTAACTGCTGTTTGCCAATCTAAAAGTACCGTCAGTCTCTGCCTCTTCAAGAAAACCTTCCTCAGAAATGAGAACGATACTGTCGGGGTAAAGGCAGGGGCGTATCTAAGGGTGGGCCTGGGTGGGCCTGTGCCCGACCAACTCAGCAGTCCAAAAAATTTTTTCCTTTTGTATATTAGTCCTTTTAAAAATATTGCTCACTTTATTATGATAGCAATGAGACAAGACTAGCATAGCTAATAGTTTTAGCCAGTGTAAATATAATGATGACATGGTAGAGACTTCCATAGTTCCATTTGGGCAATTGGGCTGCCATTTTAAAAATAATAACTACTACTAACCAATCAGTTATTAGACTATTCACATTAATTATTAAAGTAATCGAGTTGAAAATGGCTAAGAAACTCTGCTGAGTCTGTTTGAATGTCTTCCCAAGGCCAGTACTACTACTAATGAAGAAAATATAAGCACTGAAGTGCACATCTTAGCTTAATTAAAGTAAAAATCGTAGTATTTAATTGACCACGCCCATCATGAATATTAATTAGCTCTGAAATTTTTCACGGCGCACGAAGCGCGCCGCATATCTTTTCTCCGTGCCCACCCAACTCTCAGAGCTTAGATACGCCCCTGG